AGAGCATGAGTATTAAACTGCTCATGGCTTGATGACGGGTAAGGGATTTCTCTGGACATTTCTCACCTAAGACAGGCACAGCCTTTCTGCTGAACAGGGAAAGTCCCTGCTCTAAATATAATAAAAAGGGGGATATGTGGGAAGCCAGCCATAGCCCACTGGCTTTTTGAAAGACAACATTTGTTCCTTTTTAAGGACTGCACATGTTAAACTTGTTTTACCCTGCACGGGAGAAACCCAGACAGCCAAAGATCTGTAGGAGTCAGGTGTTGTTAACTCCATTTTGTTATGTTAAAGATCTGATGTTATCTATAGGAGCAGGTATTGAGGTTACTATGGTAATCCTAGCCCATAATAGTTCGGTCTTTTCCTTTAAAAGGCTGATGCCTGCCTGCAATAAACGTCGCCTTGATCAGATTCTTGTCTTGGCGTCCTTCCTTTCTCTCTGCCCCATCTCCACCCCGCTGCTCTTTCAGGTTTGAGGCACTGCGGGACAGTGCTCTGCGTCGCCGGTTCGCGACACCTAAGCTCTTAGCACGAGTCAAGGACTAAAGAGGCAGAGTAAATAAAGGAAGATGATTTGTTTGGAAAAGGCTGGAAAAAGACAGCTATTCTGGAAAGGCAAGGTGAATGCCCCGGGCCAGTGTTCTGGGATCCTTTCATTAAGGACTATCCATTCTTCCCACCCGCCATGTGGGCACCTGGACGATGTAGTCTTCTGAGTGGTTTTCTAGCTGTCTTTGATCCTAACCTCTGGGCTCCTCTGTCTATATTCTTTTTGGCTGTTTGATTCCTTCCTGTCCCTTTGTGATGGTTAAGTGCGTGTGTGCCTGTGTGTGTGTGTGTGAGGGTGTCTTTATAGAAAAGTAGTAGAGTCACTGGTTAAATAAAGGGGACATGTGTGTATCTGGTGTAATAATACAGGATGCTAAAGTGAGAATATGTATGCTGTTATGGATGAACAAGTTAGAACATGGAGATGCGCCACACTCTGTGACAGATTTGAGCCCCTCTATTAAAGCCAGCAGCGGGGTGGGGTGGGGGTGGCTAGTGCCAGGGAAAGTTCTCTGAGCAACAAGAAGTTTGATTTCTCCTTTTAAACTGTGCTTTCAGTTGGGGAGGGCTCAGGGGAGAGCCAGCGGAATCTTGCAGAAGCAGAAATATGCCAGGTTAGGGGGAGGGGCACAGGGAAGTTTCACACATGCTAGGTGAGCTGCAAAGCATCCTGCAACTACAGCAAGTTTTCCGCCAAGCAGGATGTGGGTTTTGGGTGCTTTGTCCGAGCCACAGGTACAAGCTGATGTTGAGGCTCAAAATGGAGTTAGGTTGACTCTCACGATACACGTGTACAGGTGTAGGGGTGTGTGTCTTTTACACATTAAGTAAGAGTCTTTAAGTGGCTGGCCCTTGTCTCCTTTGCATTTTATCAGAGGTGGGTGAAAGGAGAGGGGCTGGTTACCCTGGACTTTGATGTTTTGTTAACTCTTTCTGATAAATTCTTAGGGTAATTGCATTACCTGGTGCCCTTCTGGGTCTGATCTCTCACTCTTCTGTTTTTCTAATTGCTCTAACTGCAGAGTCTAGCTGTAAAGGCAAAAGCTGCTTTTAGTAAGATTCCCTGTTAATTTTTAATAAAGCCTATCCTTTCCTGGCCTAGGCACCACTTTTCCCCAAGATGTAATAATTTAAAGGCAAAAAAAAAAAAAATGGGAGAGAACAGGTTTTAAATATCAAAGTATTTTTTCTTTTCTTTTTTCTTTTTTCTTTTTTTTTTTTTGGTACTGGGGATTGAACTTGGGTCCTTGCGCTTGCAAGGCAGGCCACCGAACCACTGAGCTAAATCCCCAGCACTCAAAGTATTTTTTCTCATGGCAAATTCTCAAAGATGTTCTGTCACAAACCAAATGTTTGCTTTTTAAAAAAGGAAACTTGGCAGTGTTTAAAATCTAGAACCACCATCTCGCAATTTCACTTATATTGCTTTGGATGTTAGTATTTAAACTTTGCTTGCTTTGTTCTTTGTACTCCATATCTCCACAAGATAATTTCATTTTGTAGACCTGAATGACAAAAATTGTTTCTCATCCTAAGTATGCTCAGAGTTAAGTGTTCAAGGATGTTGTGTAACATTTACCCAATAAAGTATTTGATTTTTAAAAGTATGAAAAGAAAGAAAACAAAAACACCTGCATAACAATTGTGGTCCTGACCCTAAATGCATCTCAGCAGCAGCAGCAGCCCCCTCTGATGATGTTCTCACCTCCCTGATGGGGGGCACAGCAACACACTAAAAAGTCCCAAGGATGTGGTCCTTAAGAGGGCAACGCAGCCAGGCTGGCTCTACTCCCTGTCCGCCTCTTCAGCCTACCTCAGCCTGGACTTTCTAAAGCTACTCTCTCCCCTGGCTAAGCCATGTTATCTGAATTCCGAGATGCTGCCATGTCTGACCTCTGGTGCATCATTTGATTCCAGACCAGCATGCAGTCAACGTGCTTTTGGCCACAAACACACAGGCTGATTTTCACTTTCTAGGGATGCCTGCATGGGTAGAACTTGCTGCTGATTTGAACTACCTCTTGGTCTGATGGCCCCAAACCATGACACCTGCTCTTCTCTTTAGCCATCAGCTGACTGAAAGCCAGGGCTCAGAATGGGTTTCCCACTCCATGGGCTGCCTCAAATCTGGTGACTTGAGTCAGTTTCTATCACTTCAAAACCCATGGGACAGCAGGAAAGTCAATTTGGTGGCCATCTTTCCTTTTGTTTGCTTTATCATTACCAGTTTCTGTCTTCAAGTTGGCAAAATTGGGACATCATGTATAAGAATTACTCTCAAGCTTCATTGGCCTGGGTCCCCTTAATGTACTTTAAACTACCGCGAACCACAAAGAATCATTGTTTATGTGGGTTATATCTCATGGTGTTTTGGTGTCAGCTCATACTTACATGAATTCAGTGTCCATGTATTCTCAAGCCAATGGTTAGTTAAAGTGTTAGAATCTTGAAATTGGCAATGTAAGTATTTACACCACTGAAATTGGTAAATGCTACAAATCAAAGCTTTTTCTGAAGATCCAACTTAACAGGATACCACTGATTTTGTGCGACAATATTTTCCATATTTGACACTGAAATTGAGAAGTCTGGAAGATATTTTAGCCTAAAACAATAAATCCCTTATATCTGATGATACCATATTTTCATAAATATAATTTATTCTCCAAACCATAATTTAATCACAGTAGTCGCAGTGTTTACCTTTTTGCACTCTTTAAAATAAATGTTTCTGTCTGCTTCTGCATTCACCTGGGTGCATGATCACATGTCACATAGTTTCTGGAAAACTCAACTGTTCACTTGTGAAAGCATCAGACTAAAAGAGACAAGTAGCATCTTCATGTTTTAAGTTGGTTTTAAACTCACAGATGTCCCAAGTGGGTCTGTTTTGGAAATCACTACATTGGGACATTTCTCCTCTTCCTCAGATGTAGTTCAACTGCATGCCATCCTAAGACATAAGTAGCATTATCCTGTGGTCCGTTTCTCTCCATATATGTTTAATCTAGTAATCTGAAAGGCCTGGCCACATAGCATTCTAATGATTCCAGGAAATTACGGTTTGCTGACAATGTTTTTTTGGTAATTATCATCATGGCTCCCAGGTGAAAATGAACTACTCTCGGAGGGCCCAGCCTCAGAAATTTATGAAACTGGACATAAACACTGCTTAACATTTTTCCTCCAGGACTTGACCCCAGCTTTCTTAATTTCTCAAATTTGGAAATATAACCTAAAAGTTTCCAACTGTACATTTAATAGCCAAATATTCCATTTCCCCAAAAAAGCTATTTTTGACTTGGTGGGAAAAAAAAACCAAACATTTTTGTGTTAATAAAATTCAAGTGTTTTGAGTTCAAATGTATTTTGAAAAGTAAAAATAGGAGAGTTTCAAGGTTATTTTTTGGCTGGAGAGAGGATCCTGTTTCTGGTGATCATGAGCAGAAATCTGACTTCATTTAATTTATCTATGGTCTCAGAAACTTAAAAAGCTTGTGTTAAATTTAAGAAATTTCTGTTAACAAAATTCTTGTTTAGCTGAAATAATTTCTCCATTAAGTATAAATCCAGTTTTTTTTTTTCTTTCTGGTGGTATGTTTTCTTTCTTTTTTTTTTTAAGTCAGGGACTTGCTCCATCTCTAAACTTGGATCTTTCTGCCTCAGCCTTCCAGGATGCTGGATTACAGGTGTTTACATTAGCTATCAAGTCTAGAAATACTTGATTGAAAACTTTTTATTGATTTTCAACTCTCAGAGGTTGACAGCTGGCTGCTTTCAATTTCGCCTGCTGAGGGCTTGCTAGATAACAAAGGATTATCTCACACACACAGGAGGCAGGGCAGCTCTTCTACATGTTTCCTCCCTCTTCTCATAGTTAATTTATTTCTCTTTCACTAGAGAAAAAACTATTTGCCATCAATGATATTTACAATATTTGAATATGTGTTCAATGTTATGAGCCTCAATTTTCCTAAAGAGAGCAAAAAAACAAAACAAAAAACCCCAAAATAATCACTAAATGCCTTTAGCAGAAACTGTGTCGTACTTTTTAAAAATCTTGATTTATTCTACCAGATCTAGTCTTCAGGTCTAAGGAAGTGGACCTTTATGAAGTGTGTTTCCTTGCCCTCTGGCTTGGAGGAGGCACTAGCCAGAGACTGGAGGGCAGTGCCAAGGTTGGCACGTCCCTCCCTCCACCCATCTGGGTTCAGACGGTAAGAGGTCCTGGAAATGCCATCCGCAGGCTTCAGCAGCCCCATGGTTTCCTGAAGGCTCCCTACACATCTGCAGATCACCCAGTCCCCAAATGCTCTTCAGATAGACATCATGTATGTGTCCTCCTACCTGGGCTCAAAGGATATGAAGATAATTTATTCCAGAGAGACACCACGTGTGTTTTCATGTTTATTAATATAGGTTACATGACATTTTTAAAAGAGTGAATATAAAAACTGAAATCGTATTTTGTAAGTACTGTGATGATAGGTATTTTCATATATACAGACTAAATATACAGTGACAGTAAATTTCTGATTTAGATAATATGAATATAGTAACAGTTAATAACATCAGTGCTAGCTTCTACTTATAGTTATATTACTCTTAGGTAAATTATTCTATTTGGAAATACTTTGCTCTTTTAAATAGATAAACATTTGCCTTGCAACTTTCCCCCTTTTTTCCAGTTTTTTTTTTTTTTTTGGTTGTTTAAAATACCATCACTTTTTAATCAGGAAAAAAAGATTTCAACCTAATTTTCAAATTACTTTGCCAAACCTATGAAGATTTTCTATGCTTGATACTTATCACAGGGTTAAAAAATGCTTTAAAAAGCACTTCATTAACTTAAAAGGAAAGTGAAAAATATAGAATAATTTCTTAGATTTCAATGACAAATCCATTTTCCTGTTATTTCTAACCAGTTTGACATAAATGAGCCTTAAAAGAAAACTTGAGTAACTTATTGAACAAAACATTTATAAATAAATACTGTCCAGTTGATGCAGACTGAAGGATTTATCTTTTAAAAATGAGTATCATTTTTAAAAAATGAGTATCAAAAATGAGTTGTATTTTCATCTTAAGTTATAACCATTGGAAGCAAGTGTTCAAAGCTCTTTTTTGGACCGATCTTGCTTGTGACACAGATCTTTGTGTGACTCTGGGTGACATCTGGCTTGTAACACTGCTTTGTGCATGGTACAATACATCACTATCCCTGTACTGTGCCCTCTGCTCTGCTGAGAGCAGGGTTCAGTCCCACTCCACTCTGCAGGCCCTGCACCCACTGGGGACACCTGTAAGACAGGAATATGCCTTCCTCTCTGTTTCCAAGATGGGCAGAGCAGTCTCTTATGGCTGTTGCCACCCAGGTGTCAGTCACGTCCTGCTTTGCCAGTTTCTAAAAGACATGCTCAGGTCACAGAAAGCCATTGCAGGGAACCCAGATGATGGTGTCAGCTTGGCAGCCCGGTCTTGCTGGTTCCCAGGAGGCTCAGTGGGACAGCTTCTACCACCATGGATCCGCTGTCTGGACTCCTCATGTCCAGCTCTCGACGTAGTTTGCTCTGACAGGCAGTCTGTGGTCACTAGTGGGATCCTGCTCAGTCTCAGCTCATGTATACATGCACGCTGCTGACCATAGCAAATGGCCTTTTTTATCTGTTTTGACAACTTTCAAAACTGAAACTTTGATACGTTTAAAATGAAAAACACTAGAACTTTTTCTACAGACAGATACTACCAAGTCTCACCCTTCTATTAGTTAAAAACTGCCATGAAACAATTTCAAAATACACTTACTTGCAAAATAAGTGACATATGTGTGTGTGCGCCATTCATGTGTAAGTCATGGAATCTGTCACTGCGGTTGGACGTCTTCAGATGTTCAGGGCTAAACTTCACCAACCTCGACTTTGCATATAAAGTCAGAGAATCAGAGATGTTTTTCCTATAATTCCCAGGTTAAAAAAGAGAGGGTTTCAAAGTGCCTAATCCATACTGTGCTGCAGATAACACACATGTGTGCATACTCATAGATAATATATATGTCACCTCTATCTATATATAAAAAGTGACATTCAGATATTGTAGCACTGGCAGTATTACCTGGAATACTACTTTTTTCCATTCCTATTACTTTTTCTGGTAATTAATCAGTATTTATGCTCTCCTAAGAAGTCGGCATGCAAATCATACATTTGTTATTTTAGATGATGAAGTAGTTTTGCCAGAGATGAACAGAATCCCTGGGCTTTTCACTTTTTTAACCTTTCTTTTTAACAGACCAGCAGTCACTTTTTCTAAGTTAACAGCTTTTTGTAGATACTATTATTCATGTTAGTAGAGCTGGTATCCATTTTACTTGCCATCAACTGACCGCTGCTGTTGTAACTGTTGGGATCCACGTTTTCCTTGCAACACAAGATACTATAGAGGTGCCGCTGGCACTCAGAGGAGGCGTAATAGTAGATCAAGGGGTCGATGCAGCAGCTCATGCTGCTGATGCAGACGCAGATGAGGTAAGCAAAGTAGGCGGCCTCGGTGGCAGGACTGTGGGACAGGAACAGGTAATGTGTGATCAGGAGGACATTCGTGGGCCCAAAGCAGATGAGGAAGATGCAGAAGACAGTTACCGACAAGAACACAGCCCGAGACTTGTTGTGCTGGCTGGCAACAGTGGAAGAGCTGAGACATCGGATGATAGACACGTAGCAAATGGTGGAAATGACCAGAGGCACGAAAAAGAAGATAGCTGAGAAGGCCGAGAAGTAATAGGCGTAAAATCCCTCAAGCAGCGTTTCGTTGAGCACATCATGGCAGGTGGTGATGTTGAGCCCTGGGACCTGGGCAGTTTGCTCCCGGAGGAGGAGCGGCAGCACCCCGATGATGGCCATGGCCCAGATGGCCAGACTGGTGAAGGAGGCCCTCCCCATGGTGCGCCAGGACAAGGCCTGGATGGGGTACACCACAGCCAGGAAGCGGTCCACACTGATGGCCGTCATGAGCATGATGGAAGCATACATGTTACAGTAGAAGGCCGCGGTGACAAACCGACACATCTCAGAGCCGAACTTCCAGTCGCTGCCGGAAAAGTAATAGCTGATCTTAAAGGGCAGCACGGACACAAAGAGCACATCAGCCATGGCCAGGTGCAGCATGTACACGACGGCTGGCTTTTTGACCTTCATCTTTAGGATGAACACAGCAATGGCCAAGAGGTTCAGGGGGAGGCTGATAAGGACCACGCCGGTGTAGACAGAGGGGACAAAGACGGTCAGCCAGGAGCTGGTCAGGTAGCCGGAAGCATCTTCCGAGATGAACACCGGGGGTGGCTTCTGGAGAGGTCTGCTAGTGTTGAAGGAGAGGCTTCTTCTTTCCGTCAATGTGCTTGCATTTCTGTCCTCTTCATCCTCCATAGGGAATTGTTCAAATACATCATTGGAATTCCTGAGAAGGAATGACCGGGGATTCAAGGTGGGATTTGTTGCTCTGGACCCTGGAAAATTAAAAACTTGAAGTGAATGATTTAAAAAGGCAAAAGAGACATGGAGAAGGTACATTTTTACTTCTCCTTGTTTCTCATTTTCTTCACAGGGCAATGAATGATGAAATCCAGATCACACATGGATAGATTGCAGGGAATAAACTAACCCAAGACACTTTGAAATATTCTGTTTGGATACAAGAAAACACTTTTAAACTTGCTTGTCCAATGGGCAAAAGTGAGCAATATACTTTTAAGAGGCCTGCCCAGTAGATGTCAGGAAAGACTCAGTGATGACAGGAAGGAATAAACAGGGCTTTCTCTTTCTGTCCTACCCTGTCTGTAGGTACGCAAACCACACCTCTCCTCCAGGTGCCTCCACATGCACACTTCTGACAGTTTGTGCCATCCTGTGAGATCCATCCCTCCCAATAGGAAAATCCACATAGAATGTGGAACAGAGCTCTTAAAGGCCTTTGAGCACCTTAAAGTAGGATCCAGGCCTCCCAATTCTACCATCTTTAGTTTGCATGCTTAGAGTATGAAGTCCCAAATCTACATATCTGAGTTTAAACCAGTGCCTCTGATTACCTCCTGATAGAATCACAAGGTACCAATGAACTCAGTCTGCTTGATGCCTACTTCCTGAGCAGGACAGCACACACTTTTAATCACTAATGCCAGGCTGATGACCTTCGCTTCATTTTAGAATGCCACATCTAGAAGCTGATGGCCCTGAAGTATTCTAAAATGCACCTTGGCTTATCTCAAGGCACACACCAACCCAACTGGGTTCTGTGGAGTATCAATCAGATTCAAAATAAAGGTTTGGCTACACACTTCTTCCCTTTATTATCCTCTTCCAACAAAAAGAAATCCATTTGAAATGTTAATCAGATAAAAAGCAATATCTAGCAGTAGGAATTCAATCAGCTTTTCCTTCTAAGGAGTTCTGCTAAAATCCTGCCACTGGAGATGAGAGATAGGGAAAAAGAGCTTCTGGTGGGCACTGGAAGATGAGACAAGAAGGAAAGAAACCACTTAGAAAAAGGACGAGGCCTCTGTTACAGAGAATGCTCAAAACAAAGGTTGGATATTTGGGTCTCAGGGTGCTGTCAGAGGATTTCAAAACTTGTCTGGAAGCTGGACAAGTATATAAGGGATTTCGGAGCTTTTGGTTTTTTGTCAGGTGTAGAATCCTTCCTGCAAAGACAACTTACACTGAGAGGTGTATTTCTACAAAGCAAAAGGTTCTGCTCCCATTTCCTGACCCAGTCATCCCTTAGATAAAAGTGATAAACTGGGTATCCTTGCCGGACTGCCATCTACCCATGGCCTAGAGGCATCTAGGTTCACAGGACAGAAGGAGAGAGCTATGGAGGGGAGGGGTGAATCCTGGAAGAAGAGATGACACTAGATTCTTGTTTTCAGTGACTTTTGGCTTACAAGTGGCAGAAGTCTGTGATACTGTGAAAAACGTTATTTGGTCATGTTCTTATTTTCTGGCATATAGTTCGTAAAATTCTTAAAATCTCTAGAGTGAAAGGAATTTCTTTTGTATGCTAACTTTTGTATTAGCTAACTGGGGGTTAGTGGTCTCTCCATAGCTCTAGGACAGGAGCTGCTCACAGGAAAGACCAAAGTGAGACTAGGAGAGGGTGGCCAGGGTGCAATCCAAAACCATTCAGTATAAGAAAACTGAAAGGTTTTACCAGATCTAACCACCTTTTAAATGAAAATGTTGAACTCTGGACACCCCCCCGCTGACTCGTACCATAACAAAACTCAACTCAAAATGATCCAGAACTATTTTAGAAAGGACTAGAAGTGAACACAGCAGAAAAGCTCCATGACGTTGTGGGCAGTGAGTTTTTAGCAATGACCCTAAAAGCACAGACAGCAAGAGCAGAAACAGACCAATGGGATGGCATTAACCTAAAGCTCTTACATAGCTAAAGCAGCTATCAACAGATAAGAGGACAATCTACAGAATAGAAAGGAAATATTAATAAATCATATTCCTGATATCTAAAATCTAAAACATATAAGGGTCTCAAGACACTAGCAAGAGAACAACTCAATTGCAAGACGGGAAAAGGAACTAAACAGACATTTCTCCAAACACAATGTGTACAGAAAGGGCCAATAGGTATATGGAAAAATGTTTAACGTTACTCACCATCAAGGAAGTGCAAAGTAAAACCACAATGAGATAGCTCATATGTACTTTAGACCTGTCATCAGAAAATGAAGATAACAAGCACTGGCAAACAAAGGAAACAACCGTACACTACTGATAAGTGTTAGAGTAAACTGAGGTGCAACCAAGACCACTGCATCAGGCAAAGTTAAAGCAATAAGCAGAGTTTCTTTTATTCTAGGTGCAGGTGGGCCAGGAGCAAAAAGATCCTTGTCCCCCAAGGTGGGGGAGAGGAGGCCTTTATAGGGTGGCTTGGGGGGGAGGGGATGTTGTGAGGGATAGTGGAAATTTTTTAGACTTGGGGAGGGGGAGGTTGAGACTTGGGGAGGAGGAGATCTGTTGGGCAAAGGATATCTTGTGGTTGCAGGGCATCTGGGCTTGCAGGTGTTGCTGGGTGTGGTGGACACGTTTTTTTTTTTAAGCTGTGTTTTGGCTTTCTGTTATTGTACATGTTTTTGGTACCAGAGATTGAACAAAGGTCCTTGAACTTGCGAGGCAGATGGCAGAACCACTGAGCTAAATCCCAAGCCTTACTGTACATTTTTTTTGTAGGTGTGAAGAGGTCGGTGAACAGGTGCTGTGAGATGAGGTTTTTTTTTGTTCTGCTTGGGTGGGGGGGCAGATGGTAGGAGAAGGTAAATTAGCAGTCATTTGGAAAACAGTATGGAGGTTTCTCAAAACATTAAAAAACAGAACTACCATGATTCAACAGTGCTACTAGTGGGGATGTATCCAAAGAAAATGAAGTCAGTGTGTTCAAGAGACATTTGCACACTCATGTTCATGCCCATGTGGCGTGCCCATTATTCACAGTAGATGAGACAGAATCATCCTTTTGTTCACCAACAGATGAATGGATAAAGACAGCATGGTGCACATACTCAGCAGCATACTAACAGGCCTTTAAAGAGATTATGTCACTTGCTACCACGTAGATGAACCTGGAAGACATTGTGTTAGGTGAAATAAACTAGGCACAGAAAAATAAATACTGCCTGATCTCACTCAGATGTAGGATCTAAAAAGGTTAAACTCTGGGCGTGGTGGGGCATGTCTGTAATCCCAGCACTCGGGAGGCTGAGGCAGGAGGATCGCTGTGAGTTTGAGACCAGCCTGAGCTACATAGTGAGTTCCAGGTCAGTCTCAACTACATAGTGAGACCCTGTGGCAAAAAACCAAAAAAGAAAAAAAAGAAAAGGTTAAACTCAGAGCAGAGGAGGATGGTGGTTTCCAGGGGCTTAGGGATGGGATGGGGCATGAGATGGGTTGGAGAGACAGTAAACAAAGGTACAAAATTTAAAGCAGGGCCTGGTGGCCCATGCCTATAATTCCAGACTTTGGGAAGCTGAGACAGGAGGATCACAAATTCAAGCCCATGGGGAAAAAATGAGAACCAAGACCTGTCATGTAAAGGTACAAGATCCCAATGATGAATGTAATTGTACTGTATCCCTAAAATGTACCAATAAACTCAATGAGAAAGAAATGAATTTTGGGGAAAATAATCTTAAAAAAAAAAAAAAAAAAAACCCTCAAGCCCAGCCTGGGCAATTTAGTGACTTAGCTAGATCCTGTCTTAAACAAAACAAAACAAAACAAAACAAAACAAAACTTAAGAAGGTTTGGGTTAGGGATGTAGCAAAAAAAAAAAAAAATAGTTATAAAATTTCAATTAGAAAGAATAAGTTCAAGAAGTCTATTGTATAGCACAGTGACTACAGTTACTAACAATGAATTGTACACAGGAAAATTACTAAGAGAATTGATTTAATTGTTCTCACCCCTCAAAATGATAAGTATGTCCTGTGATGCTTATGGTAGTTAACTTGATTTAGTCATTTTTCAAAACATCATGTGGTATGCAATATATAACTTTTTGACAGGGAAAAAAAAAGAATCAGAGTGTGACTCATTCTTAAGTAAAAAGGACAATCAACAAGAACTCAATCCAGAATGAATTCAAATGTAGAAATTAGCAGGTAAGGATTTTAAAGGATGTATTGCAACTACACTCCTCAATTGGGTAGAGGAAAATACTCCACTGAAACACATGAACAAATAAGAAGAATCAGTAATGAACTAACAAGTGGAAATTCTATAAGTAGAATATAAAATACAGTATGTTAATATCAATTTCCAAAATGAAGCATAAAACTAGAGTTGCTCCAACTTAGGAGCCTGGTGTCTCAGGAGTGAGATGTCGAGGTGCAGAGTCCCCAGCAAGGGCTGTCAGTGGCTCTCCTGAGTGTGAGGGGGTGGCCTGGGGAGATCTGTCACAGGAGATCTGTCCTGTTGCTAAGGACATGTGTTTCTAGACTGCTCCCTAAGGAAAGAACTGTTTCGGAATCTCTGGGTCAGTGTCCTGCCTGTGGCTGGTGCTCCTTACATTAGTCACACATTTGCCTATAACACTGGCCCTGCCAGGAGTCACTAAACCTCTCTGAACTGAGCTAAAAATCATTAAAGTTGGATTCTAGTACCTGTCTAGGCCACTTTATACCTGTTAGAATGGCTGTTATGTTTGCAGCTGGAGCAACCCATGTGAAATAGACAGCCATGCACTTGAAAATTAAAAATCAAGTGGGGTAACTCAATATGAAGGCCCTGGGTTCCATCCTCAGTATAGTTAAAAAAAAAAAAAAGAATCTAGGCTCTTGTAGGTTCCTCTTTCCTTCTGTTTAGCAATGCTCAGCTTTTCTGTATGGTACGGGACATGAGCAGGTTGCAGAGGGTCACGCCTGCTGCATAGGGTTCAGAGTTATAAATCATCAAAGTGCAAATTTAGTATTTTCTGGAAGAATCTTTTTCTTCCTTTTGTGGTGCATGGACTTTACTCTGCATTCACTTTGACTCAATCACATGCAGGCTGACACTGGGGAGCC